TATTTAATCGATGTCTCACATAGGTGGTCACACATAATTCCACTTGTCCCTTCATAACAATTCTCGTGCCCCCGCATCTAAACCTGCCCTGGTATCCACTTCGCCGCTCACATCGGAGTTGTCGAGCAATCAGACCAACCAGTCTTCCTTATACTCCCAAGCCTTGTCAATTTCCTTCCCAATTTCCCATATGTCGCACTCGCGGTGGCCCCACTTCTCTGCATAAACTGTGCGGCCAGTCTCAATCCAGTGCTGCATCGCTTTTTCAAAGCCCTAGGTATTGTCAAAATACGTCAGCTCCTTCAAGTTACACACCAAAATGTGAAGATACTCACCACCGGGTTCCGATAGAAGGGTTCCCCTTTTCCACCAAGTTGCGCCGCTTGCCAGAAATTTCGATCGGATTTTTCCTTGTTTTTCGAACTCTGAAAATCGTCCAGCAGTTTACGCAGATACTTGAACCTCTCGCCGTTCAGAGGCTCGTTTGCTGTCCCAGGATAAAAGACGGAGAGGTCGGGCACAGTCGCTCCTACATCGAAAATGTGCCCAACTTTCTCTTCGGTTATAGTGTAATTCTTCATGCGTAGCCTTGCATGGAAATCGCAATCGGTAGTGTAGAAGGGGATTTGTGTATCCCAACCGCCAACATCCTTATAGGCAGCCACATTGACCAACGCCAAATAATCGTACTCGAAGAGCTTGATTGCCCACTTCTCCGTCTTGTCCATGGAACTCCAGTTCTCGACAATCCTCTGGTAAAGGCTCCTGTAAGGGTGTTGTTCCTCATCGGAGAGCACGGCAGAATCCATATGACTCCAGTAATAATGCCCCCAGTTCCTTCGGATAGCTGTGTAGAGAAAGAAATTTTGCAATTGAGCAAAGGAGAGCAAAGTAGGTGCGGTGATTATGTTAACTCCTAGCGCCCTCAACCTTGGGTAGTCGATGAAGAAGGGATTCTGCAGCGTCAACAGCCCAAGTTCGTTGGAGTCCATCGTGCCGGTATTATCCACAACATAGATATCGACAGGAGGCCATCCAGCCGTTATATAGCTAACGACAGATTGTTGTAAAATCGGCCAATTTCTTGTGAACCCGATAAAAAGTGGGGTAGGGTGATGAGATTTCGGAGGTTTGTTGACAGCGAGGATCTGTGGAATCCGACCGTCCACAGCGGCAGGAAAAATCTCAACCGCAGGCTTCGGACCTGGTGTGGGATCCACGAAGGGCATTGAAGAGGGGACAAAAGCCACTCTTTCTTCCAGAGGCACATGAGATCTATATCCGAGAATCAGGCAGACTGTAAGAATTACTGCTAGAAAAGGTATAAAGAGCCTTCGCCGAGCGGAAAGAGAATATGCCATGACGAGGAGTGGCAAAATGTGTAAAAAAAAAAAGAGAAAAAAAAAAAAAAATTTAAGGAGAGCAAGCGTAATGGGGGTGGCGGATCGTCAGTTGGTGGGCAGACGGCTTGTAAGGTTGTAAATCATTGACAAAAATTTGGTCCGTAGTAAACACATACTCGTGGGTATATACAAACTCCAACACCCAAAGAATTTCGAGTTAAGCCTCGTTCACATCACGAGAGTAGACCCATTGAGAAGGCTATGCTCCACAATTCTAAAATTATTTTTCCCACTTATAATCACTGAAGTGTCCTGAGTGTCAGCTGTCAGCATGAGGTGTTGTCTCCAAAAATCAGTATTTGTCAGCTCAGCAGCGCGTGTCCCAACACGACGTACTCATCAGCATCTACATACCAGTATTGTGCTTAGTCAATGAGTAATGGTTTAGAATTTACGCAAAAAAAGAGGTGCATCGGATATCGTTCCTCCCCAAAAATTGTAAACATTTTCGCCCCATTTTTCTCTCTCTCCGCCAGCAAGAGAATTCACCAAGTGTATTTATCCACAAAAAAACACCACCAGCAATTCAAGCCTAGCCCAAATGGTCTCGAAACTACAGGAATATCGCTATTCGGTGTGATTTGTATAGTAGTACCGCACCTCCATATCGTGGTGACACCTATCCGGCACTCGGCAGAGCCAGCACTCGTTAGACCTGCACCTCTCGACGAAAACAATCACCTGGTTAGCCTCAGGAGGGTGGTGGCTTAGAGTTTGGGCCAAAAATCCATTTTTTCACTTTCCTCACCGGTGGAAAGGGAAACATCCCAGACGTGCATTCCAAGCAGGCGCGCCCCGTAACTGGACAGGTTATTTCACCACAATCACAGCACCTAATAGGAGCAACAACGTGGTGGCTTTCCCACCAGGCCGATTCCAGAACACTTCCCTACGATGATCCGATCAGGAGTACTGTACAGTACTATTCGATTGATGGTCGTCCATCACCGGTCGAGCGATGTTTGATTACTTTGTGGGCAGTACAGTGTGATAGCAACTTCTGCAATCCCTGCTATCATACTTGAGGTTGAGATAAGATTGTCGCTAGAAGCATCCTAGAGGCCCCCAATTTGGTAATCGGAGTTCCTATTGCATCACGACTCTCGCTAGTTCGTTTGCTTGGTACTGTAGACTAGACGGCTCATAAGCCAGCCCCATTTTTCTAAACTACAAACCACATGAAACCTATTAACAAAAAATAGGAAGAATAAAAATATCTTAAATCCTTCCCCATTGTTAAAGCCTGGATGAAAAGATAGGAAAGCTTGAGTCGCCGTATGAGGGCTGTTGTCACCCTGAATGTTAAGGTATCATAGGACCCACAACAGTGCTCGTACTAGTAGGAAGTCTCTACTTTCACTTTTCTATTCCCTAAATAGTTACATGTAATTCCCCAACCTATCGACATGCTAAATGCTGCTTGTTTCTTTTTACTCAAGCCATGCCTTCACCCTTAATAGTCCTCCTTCCCTGCTTCGTTTCCAAAAACTTTCTACAAAAGAAGGAATACGACTGATGGCCGAGCGAAGAGAAATATTGGCTAATAATTTCCCAATGAAGGCAGCTCTTATGAAGACGCCCAAGTGAACGGTGTTGAACCGTGAATGAGAGACGAAAAGAAAGTGGAAAAAATTAAAGACAAACAATGAAAAGAAGTAAAAGAGGAAGTTTAGTACAAGTTATGCACCATAGTCAACCCCCGGGATAATTCCGTACATCCCCGTTGCACGATCTCGCACTTACGTATCGAGCAAAGTTAAAGATCAGTAACGTTTTTACCGGCACCCATCCCGCATGAATACTTGAGTTTACAAGCCGAAATGTGACGCGTAGCAGGTGGGAGTAGCTGTCGGGAAGTCACCCTCTAATTTTACCCCACAATAATCCAGAGTAGAGGTACTGCATTCGAGCACCATACCCACACCGCCCCCGACAGTACGGTACCGTAGACGGTCAGGTAAACGGGCCCCTAACTAACTGTCACTAGTCGCTAACACCGGCGCTACCGAAAACTCCTTTCTGAAATACAGGTAGAAGGGCCGGCAGGGGCCCGGGGCAGAGTTTGCGCATCGTGCGTATAGGCGACCGCAAATAAACCCCATCGTCAATGGAAGCTATGAGCGAGAGGTGGGAGAGAGGATTGAATTTCTATCAGGGTGTCCCATAAATTGTACTGTCGAAAAGCTGCCATCTTTGAAATAATATATTGTGAGTGGCTGATTACCAAAGGGTCGAGGGGGGGAAGGTACGATAAATTCCTATGATGGAGTAATCCAAGAAAAATAAAAATAAAGAAAACTCAAGAGAAGAAAACGAAGGAAAGATGTAAAAAGAGTAAGCTTAAGAACATGCGTCATACTCCCCCTCCGGATGAATTCCCATTCACGCTCGTGCACGAGTTCGCATCTGTGTAGATATCGAACAACGTAACAGTTTTGTCCACATCCACTCCGCATGAATGCATAGAAATCGGCAATAAGACGATGGCGATAGACTAGTGTGGTGAAGGAATTAAGAGGAAGAAAATAGAAAACAAAAATTTAAGGAGGATGTAACGATGACAGAAAGAACCGCTAATACATGGAGGGCACGGGCAGAGGGGGGGAAGGGCTTCCATGGTGAAAGGTAGGCAGGGAGGAAAGGCTAGAAAGAGCATGGAAGTAAGACCGACAGCTCAGGTTCCAGGGACTGGCTGACTACTCCAGTATTGGTCGGGATGGGGAGGGAAGGTTAAAGTTCGGAGAGTAATTTCACAACCCCTACATGTCCACGGGACGCTGCTAACTCGAGGGGAGTTTTGCCGGCATAGCCCTTTATTTCAAGATTAAGATCCCGGCGCTCCAATAGCAACTTTACTACCCCCTCGTGCCCGCGCTCTGCAGCCCACGAGAGCGCTGTTCGGCAATGCACGGTGCCAGTCGCGTTGAGATCGATATCCTCGCGTTCTAATAGTAACTTGACTGCTCCCACATGCCCGCGTCGCGCAGCCCACCAGAGCGGTGTGCGGCCATATTTGGCGTCCGCAGCATTGGAATTGATATCCTTCCGTTCCAATAGCAACTTGACTACTCCCGGATATCGGTTCTTCGCAGCCCACCAGAGCGGTGTTCGGCAATGTTCGCTGTCCGCAGCGTTGGGATCGATCTCATCGCGCTCCAATAGCAACTTGACCACTCCCTCATGTCCGCGCTCCGCCGCCCACCAGAGCGGTGTTCGGCAATGTTCGCTGTCCGCAGCGTTAGGATCGATATTATCGCGCTCCAACAGCAACCTCACTATCCGCTCATGTCCACGCTCCGCTGTCCACTATAGCGGCGTTCGGCAATGTTCGCTATCCGCAGTGTTGGGATCGATACCATCGCGCTCCAATAGCAATTTGACCACTCCCTCATGCCCGCGCTCCGCTGCCCACCAGAATGGTGTTCGTAAATTTTCTGTATCTGCAGTGTTGGGATTTATATCTGCTCGTGCCAATAGCAACTTCACCACTCCCTCACGTCCGCGCTCCGCCGCCCACCAGAGCGGTGTTCGGCAATGCTCGGTTTCCGCAGTGTTGGGATCGACATCTTCTCGTTCCAATAACAACTTTACCACTGCCTCATGCCCACGCACCCCAGCCCACCAGAGCGGCGTTCGGTGATGTTCGGTGTCTGGAGTGTTGGGGTCGATATCTTCTCGTTCCAATAGCAACTTTACTGCCCCGTCATGTCCACCCATCGCAGCCCACCCAAGGGGTGTTCGACCATATCTAATGTCTACTTTGTTAGGATTGACATCCTCTCGTTCCAATAGCAACTTTATCACTCGCTCATGCCCGCGCTCCCCAGCCAACCCGAGTGATGTTCGGCAATGCTCGGTGTCCGCAGTGTTGGGATTGACATCCTCTCGTTCCAGCAGTAGTTTTACTACGCCCGCGTGCCCAACCCACGCAGCCCGCCCGAGCGGTATCCAGCGAGATTCGGCGTCTGGAGAATTAGGATTGATGTCCTCGCGTTCCAATAGCAACTTGACCACTCCCTCATGCCCGCGCTCCGCAGCCCACCAGAGCGGTGTTCGGCAATGTTCCGTGTCTGCAATGTTGGGATTGATACCCCCTCGTTCCAGTAGCAACTTTACTACCCCTTCATGTCCACCCATCGCAGCCCATCCAAGTGGTGTTCGGCCATACTCTGTGTCCACGGTGTTGGGACTGATATCCTCTCGTTCTAATAGCAACTTCACTACTGCTCCATACCCGTGCTCCGCAGCCCACCCGAGGGGTGTTCGGCAATGTTCGGCGTCCGTGGTGTTGGGATTGATATCCTCTCTTCCGAATAGCAATTTTACCGCTCCCGCGTGTCCGTGCTCCCCAGCCCACAAGAGTGGCGTCAGCCCATGTTTTGTGTCTGGGGTGTTGGGATTAATATCCTCTCGTCGCAACAGCAACTTCACCATTTCCTCATACCCGTGGAATGCAGCGTACACGAGCGGGGTTTGGCATATTTGGTTTCAGCAGTGTTGGGATCGATATCTTCTCGTTCCAATAGCAACTGGACTACTCCCTCAAACACGTGCTCCACAGCCCACCAGAGTGGTGGTTTGCAATGTTCCATGTCTGGAGTGTTGGGATTGATATCTTCTCGCTCCAATAGCAACTTTACTACCCTATCATGTCCACCCATTGCAGCCCAACCCAGTGGCGTTCGACCATATTTGGTGTCTGCAGCGTTGGCATTGGTGTCCTCCCGTTCCAATAGCAACCTTACCACTCCCTCAAGCCCGCACTCTGCAGCCCACCCAAGTGGTGTTTGGCCATATTTAGTGTCTGGAATGTTTGGATTAATATC